CATGGGTTGTGTGTTTGCTTCTTTTTTTACCCACAAGGTCTCTGGGATTTGCAGTCCAAAATCACAGCATCTGGACTCTGTGGGGTTGCTCATCGCTTCTTATTCCTGCTTCCAGGTGCCTCTGGGATTTGTAGTCCACAGTCACAGCCAGCAGTAAGTTTGAGCAGAGGAAGGAGTGTTTAACCCCCTTCCCTGGCTCCAGACCCCAGCTGGGGTTTGCCTCGGGGGCAGTCCCCTGAAGACTGGGCTGCATCTCCAGCTGGGCTTACCATCCCACCTGCTTGTCAGCCAGCCCTCACTGCTCCAGCTAGGGAGCAGAGTGGTGGGGCCAGCCCTGCTTAGACAGCACAGCCCAGCCCAGGGCTGCAAAGCATGCTGGGGGACTGTAATTTAATGTGAATGAGGAAGGGGTCTGGGACAGAAGTTTCATAAACCGGTTTGACCCAAATCAGTTAAGTCTGATACTACATTCAACCAGGTTTATCTTAAACCAGTTTCAGCCACTTTGAAACTAGTTTATGTGCACTGAACTTATGTTCTGTTACAGGTTTAAACCAGTTTCTGATCACTTAAACCGGTTTATGTGTACATTCTGTCCCCAGCCCTACAGTGCAGATTCCTGGTTCTCTCACAGTTCACAGGAAGGACATGCAGCAGCCTCCTGGTCCTGAAGAAATGCAAAGCAGCGCTCCATCTTACTGTTGCAGTGTGTCACAGCCCACATCCACCAGCTCTTCTGTACAGAATTGAAACTGGTGTCATTATTTTTTTTTTTAATGGCAGAAAAGCTACAACTCTGGAAAAATCGATTTCCCTGTGACAAGACTGTGATGGGCTTGAAATGACTGAAGATTGTAAATGCCTCCAGGTGCTCAGGTAAAGTTTTATTCCTTCTTCCCCTCCCCCATAGCATTATGACAGTTTCCAGGACCACAGAAGCAAGGCTGCATGTAACATGACAACTGGTGTGCACATTTACTCCATGAAAACTCATACACTTAGGAATGCATGGCTAATTCCTATGTGCAAAGCTGGCTTACTGCCTTTAAGCAAATGGCAGGCACGCAAGCAGAATATCATTAAGGAACATCACACTCACAGCAGAGATGCATAACAGCATCTAACACAGAAGTTTGCAAAACAGCTGCAATGTCTATTGGAACCAGATTGTCCTGAACCAGAACAGCATTGAGCAGGGTGGAGGGATTGTCAGAGAAGGAAAAATGGTTTAACCCCCATTTTAAACCCCCCTCCTCCCAAATTCTGATCTTTCCTTTAGATCGGGGAGAGCTTGAGTTGCTGGGAAAGATGGAGATGAAATCTAGTGCCCCCTGGTGTAGCCAATGTGCTGGTGTTTTATGAGGGCATTCAAATACTGTAATACAAGAAGCATAATCTGTGGCCTGACTGGGAGTCTACCATTGCTTGTAACAGTGCTATGAGCAGCTTGCCAGCTGGCAGGAAGCATTTTTGCACTATAAAAGCAGCACAAACTGAAGCTTATGGCAGCAATACTTAGCTGTTACCTAATACTTAGCTGTTACCCAAGGACTTTTCTTCCCTTTGTCTCAAAGTACTTTGCAAAGGCAGGGTACTGTCATTATTCTGATTTCCTGCCGCAGAGGGAAATGCTAATGCAGAAAACCCTGAAGATATGAATATTCAAAAATGATGTCTAATTTTGGGTGCCCGGTTTTAGGACCAAAACCTACTTCATTTCTATGCACTTATGTGGCATTTCTGTAGCTGCAGAAGTGCAAGTTGGGGTGGGGGTGGTGGGTGGCCCTTATGCAGAGGTTATTTCCATCTGTAGTGTAACAGGAGCCTTCAGGTAGGCACATAACAGCCAGAAGAGAGGAAGAAGAGAAGATGCTGGTGAAGGAGCAGGAAAGGTGTTTCATCCTTTATCCCAATGGCTGAGTGGTTAAGTGCATGTGGTGTACCTTGACAGTGGATGTGGTGTACCTTGATTTTAGCAAGGCTTTTGATATGGTCTCCCACAACACTCTCGCAGGCAAGCTATGAAGTATGGGCTGGATGAATGGACTGTAAGGTAGATAGAAAACTGGCTGGAGCATTGGGCTTAGAGAGAAGTAATCAATGGCTTGATGTCTAGTTGGCATCTAGTATCAAGTGGAGTCCCCCAGGGGTCAGTCCCGGGGCTGGTTTTGTTCAATGTCTTCATTAATGACCTGGAAGATGGCATAGAGAGCAACCTCAGCAAGTTTGCAGATGATATCAAGTTGAGGCAGGGAGTAGCAGATATGCTGGAGGGTAGGGCTAGGAGTCAGAGTGACCTAGACAAATTGAAGGAAAGGCCCAAATGAGGCTCAACCAGGACAAGTGCAAAGTCTTGCACTTAGGACAGAACAATCCCATGCACCAGTACAGGCTGAGGGCTGACTGGCTGGGCAGCAGCTCTGCAGAAAAGGACCTGGGGGTTTCAGTGGACAATAAGATGAATATGAGCCAGCAGTGTGCCCTAGTTATCAAGAAGGCTAACAGCATACTGGGCTGCATTGGTAGGAGTGTGGCCATTAGGTCAAGAGAAGTAATTATTCCCCTCTATTCAGGCCACTTCTGGAGTATTGTGTTCAGTTTTGGGCCCCCCACTACAAAAAGGATGTGGACAAATTGGAGAGAGTCCAGTGGAGGGCAACAAAAATGGTTAGGGGGCTGAGGGACATGACTTATGAGGAAAGACTGGAGGAACTGGGCCTATTTAGTCTAGAGAAGAGGAGACTGAGAGGAGACTTAATAGCAGTCTTCAATTACCTGAAGGAGGGTTCAAAAGAAGATGGAGCTAGGCTATTCTCAGTGGTGGCAAATGATAGAACAAGGAGCAATGGTCTCAAGTTGCAGCAAAGGAAGTTCAGGTTGGATATCAGAAGGAATTTCCTCACTAGGAGGGTAGTAAAACACTGGAATAGGTTACCAAGAGAGTGATAGAAGCTCCATCCTTGGGGGGTTTCAAAATGTGGCTAGACAGAGCTTTGGCTGGGATGATCTAGTTGGGGATGGTCCTGCTTTGAGCAGGAGGTTGGACTAGATGACCTCCTGAAGCCCCTCCCAACTCTTTCTATGATTCTAATGACCCAGGGAGCTGAAAACCCAGATTCTAGGTCTTGGTCACTTTGACTAGGTACAGACAGTCAAAAAGCCTGAGGTTGAATTGATTCAGTCTTTGCAGGTTAGTCTAAACTGCACAGATTAAATTGAAAGGGAAATAAACAGACATTTACCTTTGATTCAGGAAATGCAGCCACATGCCTGCAGTGGCTCAGGCCAGAAGCTGGAGGCACTAGAGCACAGCTCTATGGCTGTGTGTTCACTTCCTCTTCCTGCTGCCCCCAAGGTCTCTGGGATTTGCAGTCCAGAATTACAGCAGCAGGACCCTGCAGGGTTCCTCACCACTTCCTCTTCCTAGGACTTATCATGGGGGTCAGTGGGAGCATATAGAGAACCACAGAATCAGTCAGTATGGGATTTGCACCCCTATCATGAACTCAAGGACAACATGAAGCCCAAGGAGCCATGACAGAGCATGTCACCACATCACTGAGTGTTCTGGAAAATAGTTCTTTAGGGTGAACCACTAGCCACCAGGCTGTGGCTATCATGCAAGGCTAACAAGCAGCCCCAAACTTGATCAAGCTGATTTTCACTCTTCTGATCCTGCAGGATATTTCTGTTTCATTTCATAGGTGCATCACATTTTTCTGTTGGTGTTGAAGCAGGCAGTTTCCTTTTCCAGGGAAAACAATGAACTGCAAGCCATGGTGTGCCCTTTAGTATATTTTTGAAACACAAAGCCATCATCCCTGCTTGGACGAATCACTCAGTGTGTATTGTATAAGCCTTTTCTTTAAATAGATGCTGCTGGTAAAATGACTAGGGGCTTAACGGGGCTGAAAATTGGGAGGCGAAAGGAGTGATTTGCAGCCTGTGTTATAAAATTACACGGGTCCCCGTACTGAGGCTGCTGAGTTGCAGACTTTCCTGGAAAAAAAAATCACTTTGCAATGCAATATAGGCCACTGAAATCAGACACAGATTATCTGGAAAAAAGCTGGCATCTGAATCCAAGCAGGGGTGGCTTCAGTTCTGCTTTGACAGGCAGCTTTTGATCTGTTCCAGTGCCTCCCACATCCTGGCAGGCCAATCCTGCCTGAACTCAATGTCCAAACAAAAGGACCACATTGGATGTTATTTGCTATGGCTCAGCACTGCAGATGCCTCAGCCAGGGCAGCACAGAGGGTGACCAGGAAATACAAAGTGTGAGGAGGTCAGTCTTGAAGAGAAGGGGACCTTCCAGGAACTTGTTAGGGAAAGGAGTAGGTAGGACTGGAATGGGTTAACCCAGTCCAGTTAACTGGTTTTCAAATGTAAAAGTGCCCGACCTTAGAAACCTAATTTAAAATGTAGATACCCACATAAGGGGCTTTAAAGACTTTCAGTGCCTGTGAAAGCCAAGTACTTTAATAAGCACTATATTTAGACTTTAGTCCCCTATGTTTGGAAAGTCTGGCCTGAAAATCTGAATGAAAACCAGGAAATGCACAAATAGTATAAGAAAACCCTACAAATTGATAGCACTGAACAACAAAGTGGGTAGCAATTTCCCTTGCCTAAATATCTGTCAAAATGACACGTCTTCATAAACCTGCCTCAGCATCTCTGTCCCCTAGTCAAACAGCAGATTGCTTCTAGTCAAGGAAACAAAATGAGCCTGCACAGGAACAGATGTGCCATAAATCTACTCAGGGACAGTAGTGTCCCAACAAAATGAGGTGTTTAGGCAGAGAAACAAGGAGTAGCATATGTTATGAGCCTCAGATTTCCTGCTGGCAATTGGCAGAAGGAAGACTCTTGATTTACTTATGGTAGAATCAATGTAGAACAATCTCTATGATAGGCTTCAAATATTGTATAATGGTAGGTCCTGGTTTGTAAGAATGCAAAAGAGTTAATAATTAATTATTATTTATTTTGGGGTGGGGGGAAACATATACCATCCCAAGCATAAAATACAATTTCTATTTCAATGAAATGTGGTTATGGGACTTGGTCCTGTTTTAAATTATAAGGCTTTATTCCGATACCATTTTCACTGAGAGGTTGCAATTAACCATGTACAATAGCATAACAATCACTTGGTCATAACAAACTCTGCCTGGTGGCAAGAAATAGGCAAGGTAATTTATGGTGTGGTGGGATAAGGCAGAATACAGGCTGGTGTAATGGTTGTTATGTTAGCATTCAGCACTCTGATCTTAAGATAAGACAGCATTTTTGTACTACCTCTATGCACTTAATTGACTGTTTTAATTACAGTCCCAAACAAGACAATCATGTAGAAATTATGAAAGGGCAATATAGCAAAAGAACTTTGACCCTTGTTAAGTTTTATATTCTATGGTCACAGAAAGAGCATTTGTTTCTGAGGTGGTGACAGCAGACAAGCATCATAGTACACATTACTTCCAGCTTCACTTACTGTTGTGCAGTCCAATTTTTAAGAGCTTTTATCCTGTACAAAACACCATCCACATTTTATACAAAAGTGATTTTCAAATGAATCTCAAAACATATTTTTTACCCAGAATCTACTTTAATAAAAGTAAATAGGTGATGTTCACAATTATTCTATTATACATTGGGCCTGAGCTCAGTATACCCACCACACTGTGTTGAGTCCAGTTAGGCTTCAGTCCTGCCACTAACACTCTGACTTTTATCCCTTCCCTGGGATTTGGCTTTATGGATACTTTAAATAACAGTGAAAGGCACTAACTTCAGCCTATGTTCCTAGTTCTTTGGTTCTTCCTTTTTTAGAACCCTTTGTGATCCAACCGCTGGGTCCTTCTTGATGAAAGAGATGAGAAACCATCTCATATATTTAGAATAGAGCTAACTGCACCTTATGTAACCTCAGCATGACTCAGCAGCCACCCTCTGTGCCTCCCAACCTAGGGGTTGCTGTAGACGTGCAGGGATGATGCTCCAACTCACTGCAATTACAGTGTGTCAAAGCAGACTCAATTAATCGAGTCTGCTGGAGCGTGCTAATTAGTGCATGCAGCAGCCTCTGCGTCTAGAGTATTCAGTGTCCCCACACTTCAAAATGGCAGTGGGGGCACTTCAACTAAAGCTCATTGACTGAACTTTAGTTAAAGCATTCCCACTGCCATTTTGCAGCATGGGATGCGTAATACATGAGACTCTGTGGGCACTTGAATTAGAGCAGATCTTGGAGCCACTCTAATTAAAGCGCTCTCGCCTCCCTGCCTCTGGAGTACACATAAAGATGCCCTAGGACTCTAACACCTAAAACAGAAAGACTCAGCACAACAGGCCCTAGAATCAAGCACTCTGTTACACTTCCTTTCCTTTGCAGTTGTGACTGATTAATCATTACAGACAATGCAGACACTGGTCTGGAGATATGGAAAAGATATGGAAAAAGGCTGCTTGAACAGTGCTTTGCACTGCTATGAAAGATCTCTTTTCCACTGCATCAGACAGACTGCCGGTCTCCCCTTCCAAGCTTGTCCCACACTGCCCACTATCTCTCATTCGCTGCTGAGATGTTGATGTCCCCCCTGCTTCAGATAGTCATTAATGCCAGGCTCTATCATCTAATAGGGCTGTGCAAAGCCTCAATAGCCGATTCTATTCGGAGATTTGGCCTGATTCAGCAGCCGAATCTTCGAATCTGAATCGGGAGACCAATTAAGAGGTCCAAATCGAATTGGAAGCCTCCAAATCGATTTGGAAAAGATTTGGCCTGATTCAGAGATTCGGCCATAGACTAAACAGGCAGGAGTCCTCCTTTAGGCCTGATAATACTGTAATACAAAATATAATGAATCCACATACAGTAGTAGATTGCTGTAACAGAATTGCAGGCAGGTTACAATTAAAGTAACATTCAGGTCATTCTGGAGAGAGGTAAGCCTCTAAGACTACCAAATAAGTCATCAAGTACCTTGCTAGCATGAGCACCTACATGGATCTCCCTTCAACCGACATGCCTGGCAATCCAATGTCAAACTGCAAAACAGGGAGGTGGTAACTAGAAAGCAATTGCTAAAGAAGCTGGACTGCTGGGTTAAAGAGCCAGCCTGCGGTTTAAATGATGCCAGATTTCGCTCAGCAGCTGTATAATAGCAAGACTGTAGAATAAAGGTAGCTGGACAGATGGTGTCATAGTGCCATATGAGGATGGGAAAGGGCATTAATATGACTAGCTAAGCAATTTAAAAAATATTCTTCTGAAATAAAGTATCTTTTCTTACAATATTATGAAGCCAGTCTCGGAGGCATAAATGGTAAGGGAAATTTGACTTTTTGTACCCATATTGAAGTAACTGCTATGAAGTGCTGAGCATTTGGATATAAATATAGCCATAGATATACGCACACATATATATGTATGTACATGTAGACAGATAGGTAGGGGTATGTGTGTGTGCATAAATTAAGTTTTCCTTCTCTTCTGCAACTGTATGATAAGGACCTGGCTGTGTGGTATCATAATAAGTTGCCATGGAAAAAAATCTCACTGTCATGAAAAGAGACCATCACAAAGAAAATGGATTATATATCTCAGCATCCATCCTATTCATCTATTTAGCTGGCCATTCATTCTTCCCACCTACCTTTCCATCCTTCCCATCTAGCCACCCATTCTAGCTATCTAATCTACCCAAGTTGTCTTCACTAAAGTGGTTTCTGAGTTATTTGGCATTTGCAACAAAAGGATAGAGCTTCAGATTTGGGTTTATTGTCTTTCTCTTTTTTTTGTAGATTTTAACGTTCTTGTTTAGCTTTGGTATAGCTCTTTAGCTAGCCTGGATACCTAAATGGATTAAATATAATCTGATCAGAGAAATGTAATATAATGTGATCAGAGGATTTAATATAATCCTGATCAGAGAAAACAGCTGATTGATGTATAGTAAGTGGGTGTCTTTTCTTTAAATAAAATGTTCTCCTCTGATTCAGGTTCTATGTGCTGTGCACAAAACTCCCTCTTTGATCTAACTATCATTTTCTGAAACAACCTGTTAGGCTACAATAAAGAGGCAAAGTGACACATCTTAGCTCAGGCATGCCAGGTGACTATGGAGCAGCAGCAAGAGGCAAGGCAAAAAGACATCGTCTCCCATTTGTTGTCTCCTAATCACATTCTGCCTCCAGGCCCTAAATTGAAACTAAGTACATTTCTGGATGAAAGCTAGCTGAAATGCATCCAACCTACTCATACAGCACCCTCTGCTGGACTTTTCCAAGTGTAGCTCTGGCAGCTACACTGGCCCTCTGGCCCTCCCTCCATCTCAACCCACAGGATGCTGTGACTGCAGCTTCAGCCGGAGGGAGAGGAAGACAGACAGAGAATTAAAAAAAATACTGAACAGCAGAAAGTCTAACAATGTTATTACATGTGAAAAATTCTGTTGGATCCCTTCATTTAAAATTAACTTGATTGCTCAAGTTAATGTACCCTACTGTTAGGAAGATAAGTCTATTAACCTGAAAAAAATCCACTATGACCACACACAGGATGCAGTGTTTAACCTTGTTATTGCCTCTTCCTACAGGAAAGTAACTGGCATCATTAAGGCTATGACTCTACAAAAGAATGACTCTACAAATCAGACTGCAGCAGTACAGTAAAACCTTGTTTTAGAAATTGTACAAAAATTTTTAAAAAGAAAAATCATAATTTGCTTCTTTACTTGGTTTTGGATTTGAACAAGCTGCAAGCAATAACTGTGCTAAATCTCATCTCAATTTAAGGCATATCAAAATCACGAGGAAAGTTGGAACTGAGCAAACGGACATATCACCTAATAATCATGCGCAAGCAATACTGATGCTGGCCCATGCTAATACTTTCCAGGTTTATGTTGTGCATTAACAGGAAAGCAAACTGATAGGACCCCTTTTGTTCTTCAGTAGGATTCCATTTTAAGTCTTCTGTGCAGAAAACAGGTTAAAATCATCCCACAGATCTGTGTTCAAGAAAAAACAAGAATAAATTATTGTACGTCAGCAGTAATCAAATCACCATTCAGTCAAATATAAATTCAGTATTCCAATCAATACCACACTGAAAAACAGAGCTCTAAAATATCAACAGCAAAGATTTATGCAGAATAATGGGTAATTTACATGCCCTCCAAACCCCACAATAGCGGTGGGTTTTAGGCCTAGGCTGAATGAATATTCAGGACCCCTTTATGCTGCTGACACCACCACACTACTTCTGTTATTAGCACATCTGTTTGAGTCTACCTGTTTTTTCCCCCTGAAATTTCATGTCTTGACCCAAATCAGCCAAATTAGTTCTGAATTTTATTGACTGAGAAAAGTGCAATTGTTCAAGTCTGTGTGGTGCTGCCACTGGCAAGTATCTTACCTCTCAGCCTCTTCAGTCTGGGGCTTCAGATACTCAGAGTGCATTACTGGAAGCTGTGCACACTTCCATGCACATTTGGTTCTGTGAGTCTGGCACCGCTGCCACTAAAGTCAGTGTGAGTTTCACCTTGCATTTGCATGAGGTTGGCAGCAGGCCACCAGGAGCTGACAGTGCTCAGCAACTCACACTCGGCTCATGGATGCTGTCCAAGATTCCTTGGGTCCCTCATTTTCTCTCATCTTCTCTGTTACACCCTATACACCTGCAGTCCGGTGCAGGTGCTGTTCTAGAGACCTACTTTCCTGCCCACTTTGCACACTGCCTGCACCTTTGTGCTTTCTAGAAGTTGGGAATAGCTTGGATTTATTGAGTTTAGTAGAATAGATACTGGCCGGCTGGGAGCTGGAGGCATTTTGTCCCAAGACATCACAATGTCTAATCAATCCTTTGAAGGGCAAAAAAACCCAAAACAAAACAAAACCCAAAACAAAACAGCTGGAAGGGACTCCTAGTGCTCCAACTATGGACCTCATTCCCAGTGGGGATGAGGGGAGGGGAGGGCTCACAGCATCAAACCCTTCGAGCAGCTATGTTGGCAGAAATTAGGAAGAAAGTGAACCTCTGGGACTACATCTCCTTGCAATGCCATGCAGTGATACTGAGTTAGTCTCATAGAAAATTAGGGTTGGAAGGGATGTCAGGAGGTCATCTAGTCTAAGCCCCTGCTCAAAGCAGGACTGTCCCCAACTGCATCATCCCAGCCAAGGCTTTGTCTAGCCAGGTCTTAAAAACCTCCAAGGACAGAGATTCCACCACCTCTCTGGGTAACCTGGTCAAGAGTTAGCTCTGAACAAGCTAGCATAGATACCATTAGTGGGATAGCTGCTTCAAAAGGGACAGCAGAGTGCTGTGCTAATGTGGATAATAACCAACCTAGTTTGGGTACCTGTAGCCCTTCCTGCAGCATGCTGCACAAACATACCCTTTGCACCCTGTCTAGGATGTCCTGCATTCTGCTCGTGGACTGTTTTCCTTTCTCTCTAATTTTGTCTGTCTTGTTTGTCCCAGCAGGCTCATTCCTGGCAGCCAGTCCTCCATGCATTTGAATGTCAACAATGCGGTTCTATTTTTAGTTACCGCGCTGACACTTGGTAATGAAGATACATTCTTACAGCTTGTGTGAGCTTCTCCTTTTCATCCCCCCACCCTGACCTCATTGCTTACACCATGGATGTCTGAAATGTCTCATACTGTCACGTGCAAGTCAGATGAAAAAAGGAGTGTTTTTTGCAGTTGAAAATACCTTCAGACAACTTAATATTGTTCTCAGGTAAGTTCAGGGATCATCTGATTGCCTACTATTTGGAAATCTTTTGCTTCAGCGTCAGATTTTTTTGGAACATTGACCTCCTGACATCTTTAGAGATGTGATGAACTGCAAAGAGGAGGCTGACAAATATATCCCAGTTGCTTGAAAGTAAGATCCCTGCTATACTGAGCTAGAACCTGTATAGCAGTATCATCCCTGCTGTGTTGGATCATGGCTGGGGTGTCAGTCCAAGGAGGGTGCTTGAGGTATAAGTTTAAGCCTGTATCCAGATGTATGCCAAAGGCCTTCTTCTGTTAACCCAGTTGTGAATGGGTACCTAGTCTTTCTGGCTGGGAAGTCAAAGGCAGTTGGATGCAGTGCTGGCTGTATCATTCCCTTGTGTGCCACTGGCTCTGGAAACTGGTGGATCTTAGCCTTGCTCACCTTGGATGAATGTCTGACCTTGACCAGAAGTCAATCCAATGCAGAAAGCCCAAGCAAGGTCACAAACACCACATAGGGCCAAATGCCAGTCCAAATGAAACAAGTGCCACAGTTTCAGTGAGTGTACTGAAATGGGGTTTGGCTTTTGGGCATGGCTGGAACAGCTTGGTGTGTTGTGCAAAAGCTCATCACTTAGAGCTCAGACACTGAATTAAGCAGACAGTTGTGGAACTCCTTGGCACTGGCTGATCACTGAACCACTCTGCTTCCTGCACCTCCCTATAGCCCAAACAATCAGCACAGGGCTAGACTCCTTCATCTCACCCTTCCCAGCCTTCTGTACAAGAGAATACTTATGCAGAATAAATTACTGTGCTTGGCCTGGGGTCAGCACCCTTGGGGTGAAGTTACATGTTACACATGAGCATGTGCACGTTAAGACCAGTAACTCATGCTAAGTGCCCTCTGAACATCTCAAAGTTAAGCCACTTCAGGCAAGGGTTAACTCTGGACCATACTACCTAGCTCATGTTAGGGTAACTTTAGTCTGTTCCATGGAGATAAAACAAGCAATTTGCAGTCCTCCGGCATCCCAGGACACATTGCTCTCAGTGCCACTGCCCACTCCCCACCCCACCCAGAGCAGGGATAGAGCCCAGGTGTCTTGGCTCCTATGTATGCCCCTGATCCTCAGCCCTCTAGTGGAAAGTCAGAGGTGTGTAGGCGAGAAACAATATTAACTCTTAACAAGCAACGTCTCACAGCACATTTTACCTTTAATGCTACTTAGCATTCCATGGATTTAGTATGATCTAAGTGTAATGTGTAACTTCGCCCTAGATTTAGCCTACCCTTCCAATTTCTTTTCACCATAGGGATGCCTTAGTCCATTTGACTAGGGCCAGATTGGCCCCACAGACATTCCCACACGGGGTACCTTTGCACTCTGGATACTAGGGGATCTTAAAGAGTCTCTCCTTTTGCACAGCTGCAGCATTGAGCCTCTGAGCACGCCTGCAGTGCAAGCAGACTTGCTGCCACTTCCATTTTCTCTGTCTGATGTTTCTCCTAATAAGGCTTTGATGCACTCAGCTATATCTTGACTTAATTGCAGTCAGACGCTCTTGGCAGGTCATTTAAACCAAACAGCTCCATGAGGCTGAAGTTGGTGTTTGTTTTCTGGTTCTAGGACAGGAGAGCCTATTGACAAGGCAAAGAAGCTAGAAAATATCTGTTCCCAATTCACAGAGGAGAAAGCTTATTATGAGTTTGACAGGGCACAGAAAATATCAGGCACAATCCTCATTCCAAATTCGTAAAGCTCTGGCAGTGGAAAGGGGGCTTATACAGAGCATATATGTCACTTACTCCCACTGTCTGGCTGTTCTGTACTACCAGAATAGTGTGAAGTGGCCTGTGTGGAAATGAGAATCAGGCCTTCGCTGAAAACACTTCTTGACTCCATGTAGAGGCTTGCATCTCTAATACTACACAATAAAAACAATGGATGGAGACAGGAAGCAGACAGGAAACACAAAGTAACCCATTCCAATCTGATCCAAAGCCCACTGAGATTAATGGAAAAAACTCCTATTCATTTTCTTTGGTTTGGAGCAGGCTTCTATTGCGTAGAAATAAACTTTGATAGAATTATAGAAAAATAAAGCTGGAAGGACCCTCTGAAGGTCATGTAGTCCAACCCACTCATTCAAGGCAGGAACATTAATCTAAACCAGGGATGGACAGCCTGCGACACAGGTGCCACAAGTGGCATGGGCAGCCTCTGTTTGTGGCATATGAGAGATCAAGGAGGAGACAGGCAACACAGTGGCAGACCAGGCATGAAGCAAAAAGCAAGGCAGCAAGTTGGGCAGGGAGCACAGGGAAGGAAGTAGAAAGCAGAGCAGCTAATCAGGCAGGGAGCACAGGGCTGGGAGCAGAAAGCAAAGTAGCAGATCAGGCAGAGGAAGGGGACCTCCAGTTTGTGGCACGTGCCAAAAAGGTTGGCCCTCACTGGTCTAAACCACCCCAGACAAGCATTTGTTCAATCTGCTCTCAAAACCGTTTGAGGATGGAGGCTCCACAACAATGTTGCACTTCTGCAACATTGGGTCCTGTGACTTACACATTACCCATGTCAAAGGCACCCATGGTACCTCCTATGTGTCAGGCCATCTTCTCTGCTACCTGGACTTCATTTTGATTGTTTCATCTTAAGTCCTGTAACTGGCTGAGTGCAGGGCAGATTTGGCTTATAGTTCCTCATTGCCACCACCATGAAAGTCTGGGGACAGAACCAGGATCTGACTCACAGCATGAAGATTTGATGGGGTCACCAAGAATTAATTTGCTCTGCTCTGCGGCTTGTCTGTTCATAAACAGTTCACAGACCAGGACCTTTAACAGCACTAAGCCTGCAAGAACGTCCAGGCAATGCCTACTCATTCATGAGCACCAGCATGTTGCAGCCACATGAGTGTGGGACTTCGTATTTGTATCGATGTGACCCATTTCAGCAGTGACAGCTTTGATTTATCTTCAAACTGGACAAATGGAAAAATATATGGGATGCTGAGCAAACAGAAATGGGGTGGAGAGGGGAGGGGATGATATGCTGCTTTTGATATGAGCAATTTTTTTCACAGCTGAAAAAGGAAAAACCCGTAATCATGTTCAAAAGCTTGATTGCCTAAACTTCAAAGGACAGCTACTTTATGTTTTATCAGTGGCAGTAAAAAGCACATTTGACTTATGGCAATTTTTATGCTTGCAAGCAGAGAGGAAAGTTATTTCTACATGTAGTTTAGCAATTATAATGCCATGCTATCTTATACTAGTCA